AAACATTCACACTCGTGATCAAAGTAGTCCATCTACAGTCAGTATAAACATTCACACTCGTGATCAAAGTAGTCCATCTACAGTCAGAATGTCCTTTACACTTATAACTAGTGTAGTCCATCAACAATCAACACAAATGTTCACACTCATGATCATAATAGTCCATCTACAGTAATAATAATAATAGGCACATTTTAAAATATTCCTTTCATATTTCACCCTTAGCTGATAGTTGAGTACCAACTTAAAGTAATTATTTATAAATATTTATATATGCAACTAGAGTTGCTGCTGTAGTATGTATGGAACAACGAATTGTTAATACTGTCTTTAATTAAATGAATCATAATACAAGTAGGTAAAAAACAACACACGACTCACCAAGTTTTTTAGATCTTGTGCTGTCAACACTTGTCCATCTTTGAGCCATGACACTTGTGGTGTTGGATTGCCAGAGACATTACATTCCAAATGGACCCAATCACCCTTTACACTTAAAGGATTTGGGCTTGAAGACTGGATTGCTGGGGGTTCTGAGGAAATAAGAAAATAAAATACCTTAAGTGTTGATACCTGAAAAGGATCAATGTGAAAAATTTGACCTGAGGTTTAAGAAGCCCAATAATAAAAATAAAAATGGTGAACCCATAAAGACAAGGACAACTAAAACACTTTCAGAAACTGATTCTTACGAAGCTTTTACTACATCATGAAGGACATTGATCCAAGCCTGGGTTAAGTGTAGATCTTGTTTTGTAGTTTCTTTTAAATATTAAAAACTAATTTATAATTGAAATGACACACATGTACTTTCAATATACCAATATTAGACCATTAAGTTGTTACTGTGAACTATACTGATGAAATGAAATCAAATTATAGTATGAAAAACTAAATAATTCTCTTTCTTCAAAAACAAATTAGTCTTTACTAATTTTACATATGAATAGGGAGATTAAAAACAAGAGCATTCAATGAAATAGTTTAAAATCATGTGTGGTAGATAATAAAATGGATGTGATGAACCACTGTATTATGTGATGAACCACTGCTTCATGTAATGAACCACTGTATTATGTGATGAACCACTGTATTATGGGATGAACCACTGTATTATGGGATGAACTACTGTATTATGTGATGAACCACTGCTTCATGTGATGAACCACTGCTTCATGTGATGAACCACTGTATTATGTGATGAACCACTGCTTCATGTGATGAACCACTGCTTCATGTGATGAACCACTGTTTCATGTGATGAACCACTGCTTCATGTGATGAACCACTG